AGATGGCCAAAGTACTGGAGCCTCAGCTTCAGGATCTGTCCTTCCAGTGAGCACTCAGGGCTGATTTCCTTTAGAATTGATAGGTTTATTCTCCTTGCAGTCCAGGGAACACTCAAGAGTCTCCTCCAGCACCACAATTCAAAAGCATCAATTCTTCGGCGGTCAGCTTTCTTTATGGGACATATTCAAATTTAATTTATTAATTTTATTTAAAATATTTCCCCCCACCTTTCTTCTCAAAAGGACATAAACAGAATCTTGACTTCGTAGAATTCTCCTCTTTTGTTACTGAATCCAGGATGAAATTTTACAACAACATTTTGGCCTGTTTTGTTTCCTGCATTCCAGTCACTTATGATTATAAACATGCCTTGTTTTGGTATGTAATCAATTCCCTTCTGGATGCTTGCATAAAGGCTTTCGATTTCGATCAATTTCCTTCTGGATGCTTGCATAAAAGTTTTCGATTTTATCTTTAGTCTCTGTAGTTGGAGCATAGACTCAAATGAGCTGATGGGTTTTCCCAGATATCTGACTGATATTACTTCAATTTCCTTCTGGATGCTTGCATAAAAGTTTTCGATTTTATCTTTAGTCTCTGTAGTTGGAGCATAGACTCAAATGAGCTGATGGGTTTTCCCAGATATCTGACTGATATTACTAGTCATAACTCTCTGTAGTTGGAGCATAGACTCAAATGATGGTTATGCTGGTGGGTTTTCCCAGATGTCTGACTGATATTACTCAGTCATAACTTGCTTATAGCCCATAACTGCCTGTGTTCCATCTTGCCTCAATATTAGAGCCACTCTATTTCTTCCACACTTGTCACTTCCAGAGTAAACCACATTGTTGTTGTGTGACTGAACATGTCTCATTCCTGTCCACATCAGTTCATTGACTTCTCATGTTTCATGCTCCAATTATATCTATTGTACAGCATTGGACTGTTCATTCACCTTTGTGCATTTCAGCCAGTAGATGTCCTTTCAGCTTTAATCTAGGTGCATCATTAGCAACAAAACTATTCATACTTGTCTTTTGCTCTTCCTCAGTAGCTGATTTTCTTTTCAAAGAAAAAAAAAAGGTTCAGTAATAGTTTACCACATCCTTTGGTCTTCCTCAGTAGCTGATTTTCTTTTCAAAGAAAAAAAGGTTCAGTAATAGTTTACCCTTGCCTCCTTCTGCGCAATATTAACAAAAGTTGTCTTGAGTGTCACCACCATTATGTGTGAAAAATCCCCTGCCATTATCAGCTTCAGCTACTGGTGCTGCCCAATGGCTGCTCTCCAGAATTTCTCCACCCTTATCACCATTGGAACTATCCCTTCTTTTCTGCTGATGCACCCTTTACTCCTGAAGAAGGTGGATGAATTTTAGTCTGATATGAGAATCATTCTCAGAGAGTGCTTATCAATGGCTCCTTCTCAAACTGGGAGAAGATAACAAGTAGGGTACCCCAGGGCTCTGTCCTGGACCAGGAGCTCTTCAACCTTTTTATTAATGACTTGGATGAGGGAGAGCAGAAGACACAAAATTGGGTGGAATAGCTAATACATTGGAAGACAGGAACAAAACTCAAAAAGATCTTGATACGCTTGAGTACTGGGCTGAAAACCACCTTGGGTCCTTTTCATGGAGAAAGGCTGGATGGATGGATGGACGGATGGAGGGACGGACGGACAGACAGACAGACAGACAGACAGATAGATAGATAGATAGATAGATAGAAATTAGTACACCTAGGAGAAAAAATACTAAGCCTTGAGAAAAGAAGATTGGGGGAGATGTGTTAGCACTTTTCAAATACTAGAAAGGTAGTCATTAAGAGGATGGGCAGGATCTCTTCTCGATCATCCCAGAGCACAGGACACATAAGAATGGACTCAAGCTACAGGAAGCCAGATTTCAGCTGAATATTAGGGAAAACATCTTAAGTGTTAGAGCAGTACAACAATGGAACCAGTTACCTTGAGAGGTGGTGATAGGGGCATTCAAAATAAAATTGGACCACCATCTGTCAGATCTGCTTTGATTTGGATTTCTGCATTGAGCAGGAGGTTGGGCTTGATGGCTTTACAGGCCCCTTAAAACTCTATGATTCTGATTCTTCAGCTGCGACCATTCTGCCTTGGGTGACCCTGGTAGGAGTCCAGGCTCTTAATGGACTCTAGCCTCCTGACCGCATTGCTCTTGGCTTCTTCGCACACTTAAACCTCTTCTTGATAATGGAAACCCAAGAGACTAAAGACAGAGCTAATCAAACAACTAATTACATTTCTCAGTTTCACCTCCAAAGCCCTATTAGGGTTGCTATAAGTCAGTTCCAATGTGATAGCAAGCTCATACCTTTTTATTATTTATCTATTGATTGATTTAAGATATTTTTATTCCACCTTTCTCCTCAAGAGGACCTAAGGCAGCTTATCTTACAAATAGATAAACAGGTAAAAAAGCATGTATAAATCAAAGCCCATAAAATATTGTAATGCTAAAACACACAAAAAAAAATGGTATTAAAACACTACTGAATTAAAATTTAATGTAATTTGGGAAGGAAAAAAATCAGGACCAAACAATTAAAAGCCCCTTTCTTGGCTGCAGTCAGTTCCTGAATGCTATTTAGCTATGCATGGTTTTAAATTCGATCCAGTTTATATTACCTGTTATTCATTTCCCTTTTTTAGAGGCGCGCAGCTGATAATTTGAGAAGGCATCATCAGTATCAGGTAATCAGCTTGTACTTCTTATTGGAGGAAACTGAAATGTATAGCCTAAGACAAGATGCCATGATTGGAGGCATCTCTTACTTCTGACATGGACACTGTAGTCTCACGGCTAGAAGCAAGTGTTCCAAACCGATGTCCTTTCCAACGCTACTAATTTATTTGCTGTTTGAAGAAATAAACCCTTTTGTCTGGATGCAGACACTATTGTGTGAGTCAGTTAGGCATCGGAAAATTGTTGAAATCAAATGGCAGTATAACCTCTGAGGTTGTACACATGCAGGCACCCATCTTATCATTATTGGCCTCAACTCTAGCTTGAGCTGTTTGAAGTATAACATTAAACAGCATGTTTGAGTCTTCCTTTGCACCATTCTTTGCCTAGAGGACTGGCTTTTCTGTGAGATGGGAGAGACAGTCTAGGTCAGCCTTCCCCAAACTACCTTTCTGCAGATGAGTTGTCTTGCAATCCCTGTCATCTCCACTTCGCATAGATGACAGGACGGACAACAGCCTTGCCTAAACAGGACAACAGCCATGGCTAACAACATGGAGCTCCCACTTTATGAAGCTGAGGAAAGTTTAGAGAACTCAGCATTTTAGCCCGGTGAAGAGAAAGCTGAGAGCCTTCTTGAGTATTTGAAGGTCTGTCCTGTAGAAGATGGAGTAGACCTTTTGTGTGTGTGTGTGACTTAGCTTATGGGGATAGGACCAGAAGTGATAGCTTCTGCTTACAAGAAAGGAAGGCTTTCATTCACAGAATCTGACAATTGAGGGCTGTTTTAGTAAATCAGCACTGAAGCCCCTTCCACATCTATTTTTCTTCTTTGTAAGGGTTTAAAGAGAAATGACCACATTGAGAAAGAGCAAGGAAGAACCCAGATCTGGTAGCTACAGCCTTCAGAACGGTTGGTGAGAGCCCACCCTCTCTTTTTCTTTGACAGATCTAGACAGCCTTTATATCAGGCACCGACAGCCCAGTTCCACCTCCAAGAGTTTCTCGTTAGCCTCCCTTTCCCCAGCCTTGCTGATCTTAAGATCATCACCTTCTCACGTGCATGCTGTTACGCCTGTCAGCTAATTGTAGCATGGGCAAAGGGCTCTGGAATCTCCCCAAAGTGAAAAACAACAGAGGCTGTGGCTCAAACTGAACGATGCCCTTTGAAAAGGCGTTCTCTTTCAGGTGGTGAAAGACATCTTGGTGTCATAGCTTGTGATTTTTCTGATCTGTGTACTTCCTATTTTGCATGTTTATGACTAGTCACTGGAGGGTGAATATGGGAAATCGTTATTGTAGGAGAGTGTGAGCGGCCCCCACGCCCCCTTCCATGATGATGCCAGGAGTAGTTGCAGGAGTAGTTCTATTGTTCTGATCTGTGTACTTCCTATTTTGCATGATTTAGCTTTATGACCAGTCACTGGAGGGTGAATATGGGAAATTGGCATTGTAGGAGAGTGTGAGCGGCCCCCATGCCCCCTTCCATTATGATGCCAGGAGTAGTTGCAGAAACTGGTTCTTTTATTAAGCAATAGAACTTTTAAAGGGCCAACAGGGCCATTGACATCAAGCACATAACTCTGGGTGCCAGGGAGTTGCCTTCACTCCCTCAGTCCTGGGGGGGCTGCCCCATATAGTCTTTACTGGAAGAAGCAAAGTCCTATGTCCTTTACCAGGTCAAAGACCCTACACAGTCCCATAGCAGAGATGTTGTAGACATGCCGCCAAGTGTCCCTGGAGTCAATGGGCAAAGGCTCCCTCCCCAACTATTCCTCCAAAGTCTCCACTGGCCGCCAGTGGCCCGTAGGTGCAGCAGTCCTCTTAGATGGCTCATCCAAACTCCATGTGGACTTGGCTGGTGTTTCCCTCTTATCAGGGTGTAGAGCAAGGAGGAGTGGGATGCTGACCTTTGTGGGACTTAGGGGTAGGAAAGCCACAGGGCTTCTTGAGCCTCTGAGCCTGTCAGCAACTTGACTGGTCACAATGGACCCAGGAGACTTCCTCTGATGGTATCTGTAGCTCTACGCAATACACAGTTCCAGGATCACATCTACAGACCATCTACTAGTCAGACTTCAACTTCGGCGTCAGCACCTTGCACACTTCCCAGTCTATGGTGTCTGCCCAGCAGTCCTCTCCTGTTTTCTGCTCCTCCTTAAGTCTGAGTCCTGCCATGGCCACACCTGTGGCTTAAAGGGCATCATCCACCTCTGCCTTGCCAGCACCCCAATCCATAGGTGAGATGTGAGTAGGGAATCCAGCTGGTGTTCTCTGAGAGGTGGCAAGCCCATTCTCATGGCTGAGGGAGCCTTGTCGGTCCCACAGAGAGAGAGAGAAAAGATGAGCTAAAGAAAATAACACATGCCCCATAAAGCATGCTCCTTAACATCTTGACCCTATGCTACACTATATTTAGATTTCAACTGCTGATTCCTGAATAAAAGTCTAATTACAGCACAACGATAACTAGCCGCTGAGGTTTAGATAGGGGGCAGAGACGTCACTGTAAGGAGCCGATGTTCTGCAAGAGTTAGTCAGTTGATGGAGCCTAATGTTGTAGTTTTTCTCCTCCATCCAAACAAGCAATTATTATTTTTTTTACAATACAGGAGATTTCAGCTAAACCTTAGGAAAAACTTCTTGATGGTAAGAGCAATTCAAGAATCAAACACACTGTCTCAGAGATAGTGGGCTGCTTCCTTGAAGGGTTTTTTTAGCAGAGATCTGAGGGTCATCTGTGTAGGCTATCTAGATAATTCAGGGCCTGGACGAGATGGCCCTTTGGATGCCCTCCAACTCCACGGTTCTCTAATTCTAAGGACTTCCAATATAATGCTCTATTACTGCCCCAACCTGAAGATAACATTGGCTCCTCTGAATCCTACCCATTCTGCCCCACCTCAACATCTAGCTTCTGTGCAATTGAATCTCAGTCGCCAACAACTGACTGATAGGCAGCTACTCAATGTAATGAGGGGTGTGTGTGTGTATGTGTGTGCATGTGTTTTAACCTTGAACTTTCTGGACTATCAAATAGCAGTCGGAGAAGTGCTGACCAAATTGGACTGTTCTTCTCTTTCAGGAGGTCATGAAAAATCTGGTTAAGAGATATGTGGCAGCAATGATAAGAGATGCCAAAACTGAGGAGGGGCTGACCGAAGAGAATTTTAAGGTGATTGCTCTTCTACTGGGTGGCTTTATAGTAGTAGGTCAAAAAACCAGAGTTTCTAGTGAAAAAAAACAGTCTTTAAACTATTCTCACTGGAAGTTGAGAACAGTAGTGCGAACTCATTTATGCATGAAGGCATCCACGTGATATATTTTAATAGAAGTTAACATATAATAATATTTAAAAGCATAGCTAGTTCTTTGGTCTAATAGATACATCTTTGATTGACCCAAGATCCAGAAACTCTTGCACAAAAATGTGGGGTAGCATATGGGAAAAACTTAAATTTCTCCTACTGTTAAACCTGATGCACAGACTTCACCAGAAAAATATGCAATAGCAACATAGCAACATTGTATTATTATATAGACCCTGTATATTATTTATTTATTTAAAATATTGTTACCTCGCCTTTCTCCTTTTAAAGGACACAAGGCAGCTCACATCGTTGAAAGACAATATTTAAAGCTGAAACCAGTGATTATACAATGGTAGATTGCATCATTAAAAGGCAATATTTAAAGATAAGGAGTATAAAGAGGCAGCTTACATCATCAAAAGACCATATTATAGCTAAAACAATAAGTATACAAATACTGAAAAGGAACAAACAGCACTCTGAGAGATGGTAAAGACAAGTAAAACTAATGAACCAGTCAGAGCAGTGATACATAACAATCCATCTAAAAGTCATTCATATAGCCAGTCGCTCATGTAGCCAATCACAGAGAGAAAGTGTGTCTGAAATACATCATCAAAAGACCATATTATAGCTAAAACAATAAGTATACAAATACTGAAAAGGAACAAACAGCACTCTGAGAGATGGTAAAGACAAGTAAAACTAATGAACCAGTCAGAGCAGTGATACATAACAATCCATCTAAAAGTCATTCATATAGCCAGTCGCTCATGTAGCCAATCACAGAGAGAAAGTGTGTCTGAAAAGAAAGGTCTCCATCTAAAAGTCATTCATGTAGCCAGTCGCTCATGTGGCCAATCACAGAGAGAAAGCGTGCCTGAAGAGAAAGGTCCTTGTCTCCTTGGAAAAGGATAGCAAAGATGGGGAACGAGCCTGGCCTCCTGTGGGAGGGAGTTCCAAAGTCTGGGAGCAACGACAGAGAAAACCCTCTCATGTGTCCCCATCAGATGCACCTGTGAACATGGTGAGACTGAGAGAAAGGCCTCTCCTGATTATCTTAACACCCGAGCTGGCTCATAATGGGGGACACTGTACAGTTGTGATTGTGGAGGAGGACTTTCCAGAGATTCCTGCACTGTCAGTCAGATGATTTTAGCTCCCTACATTCCAGAGACATTCATTAGTTACATTGTCTTCTCTGCTTGCCTGAACCTCAGTTGGGTCAGCAGACATCCTTCCCTCCTACCAGATTCCTATCAATTCATGCCACATGAAGGAACTGACAGTAGCACGTATTTTTAACAAAAACCCATGTGACATTTCTGTAACCACATGGAACATGGGTTAGAGTAGTGTTCAGCCCTTCAGTGAGTCAAATGTTGCTACCTCATTTCATCTCATGGAACATGGGTTAGAGTAGTGTTCAGCCTTTGCTACCTCATTTCATCTATACTTCCAATGACATGAGAAGTTTTTAAAACTATGAGCACATAGTAAATGATTAACCTAATTTCTAAGCAAAACTGGTGGACAAGCTGCAGGTTCATATCTTTAGATTCCATTATTCAGAATTTATGAACATTCTGTAAATTATGATGTAAGCTAGAAATCTCATTGATTCCTTATCTCTTTCTTTATGTCTTACAATTCTCAGAAGAGAATTTAATAATTAATCAACAAGGACCTAAGTGCTATATTAATTCAGAGAATTAGGTATTACATCCGTAGATCAAGTTTTTAGAATTTGTCCTCAGCCAGTCAATTGACATGATTAAAACAGGTAAGAATAATCAAAATGATTAGGATCTCCAAAGCTGACATAGAAACTGACAGTAAGGATCAATTGACAGGATATTCAAGGGTAAGTTAAATGTTAATTTATCAGTCATCTCCCAGATATGCACAGGACAAGCAAGAGATCTTTAATAAGGGAACAAGGAACTTGGGAAGCCACTGTACTCTTTTGCCTCTCCACACTGTTCCTACATTGCACAACCATTGTAACAACAATAATGACACAAATCAGGAATGGGGGTTAAAAATGAAAGAATAACACAAAATTTAATGCATTGCTAATGGGCTGATGCCATTGTCCTAATTGCTCCATAAAAAGTGTGTGAACAGAGCATGACAGCTCTTGCGAAAAAGACAGGCATAACAGCAACAATAGTAAGAGAAAGATGTGTCAGTTGTTCGTGGGTTTAGGTTATAATTTTGGATGCACTTCTTGTCTTTTCCATAGACAGCATTCATTTTGCATGACATAACGGAATGTGGCGGAACAGGGAACAAGTTATTACAGAAAGTTGTCCACTGAACGTTTATGAGATCCTCCACCTTCAGCAGCCCTGTCTTCCATCACACATTTCACCTCTCAATACTGAGTTCAAACAAAAGTGCTTTGATTATTCAATGTGTACAAGACAAATGCATGGTCTTTAAAATCAAAACACTGCCTGTTAAATATAACATTTCCCTGCTTTTAACCAGTACTCGTTTTCTTCTAATTCCTTAGGAGCTGAAGCAAGACATTTCCAGTTTTCGCTTTGAAGTCTTAGGTCTGTTAAAAGGAAACAAACTTCCCAATTCACAGGCTTCAAAAAACAGCAGAGAATCTTCTTCTTTGCCGGAATCAGATGAAGGAAGTGACAGTGGGGGGAATGAGAAGGTTAAGAAGAAACCCCTTAGCCTTTTTGACGTCACCTCCATGATTCACCCCAGGGCAGTTGCCAAAGCTTCTAGAGCTCATAGTCAGAGCAATGGGTCGGCCATGATGCTGACAGAGTCCATCAAGGAGAAGCAGAAGAAAGTAAACTTTGTGGCGGATGTAAAGAAGTTTGGGTTCTTTCACAGACAGTCCAAAAACAGCTCTAACGAGCACAGTGCAAATAAAATCTATTCCATTTCTGAAGAAGTTTCCCGTCAACAAGCAGAAGAACAATCTGAGAAAGACACTGAACTGGCAGAGAAAACGTCCGTTGCGAACTGTGAATTAAACATTCAGGGTCTCGACAAAACATGCCCGGTGGCCACTAATCAGCACACTAAAAGTGAGACAGTGGAGTCTAGGTTGAAAGAAGAAGCAGTCCCTTCTGAAATGCAGAAGACCCAAGTGCAGGATTCTGATTCACCCCTGCCAAAAGATTTCCTGGTCACTGATCAAGATATCAGTAGTACTGACTTCATTATGAAACAAGAGACAATCATTCAGGACAACTACATGACAACAAGGTTGTGATGAATATGGGCAAGGTGTGCTTTGGGTGGAAACATTGAAAAGTAAATCAAAACATAGTGAATTAAAGCTTTCCAGGGAAAAAAATCCTGTTGGACAAGAACTTGTAATAAGTAAATAAATAGAAGTCTTCTGTTTTGTAGCCTGCTTTAGCTTTCACAATTTCTTTTACATTTTTTTATTAAATGGAAGCATCTTGTATTCTTGTACTGTTGCAATAACCCACAGAATCTTTTTAGCTATTTTTTTCAACTTGAAATAAATGCAATTTCTCTCCTGTGATAGTTAATGCCAATGGTAAATATTTTTCTATGCAAATAAACATAGCTTAACAAAGATGTGAGACTTATGAACCTTTTTCAGGACTCCTAATCCATGAATATTTTCTGTAAAAAAAAATCCAATTTAACTAGGTAAAAAAATTATGTATGTTATCAATAAAATTTGAAACAAAGTCTAAACTAAATAATTGAACATGGTTAATGTCTGTAATTTACCAGTAACTAATCACTTTGCTAATTGTTTAGATTTATCCTACTAGATACCACTATTTCTGTACATTAAAATGTTGTGACTGAATTTGCTGATTTTCAAAACTGCCACTATGAGCAATAGAAAATGTGATCAGTTCTTTGTCAGGAGATACCTATGCCAAAGCAACCTGACTCATGTGTATTTTGATGAAGCCCTGATTTCTACATCATTGCTAAAAGAAAAATAACCCTATTGATCTGCTATGAAATTATAACAGTGATTACAAAATGTTAACAAGTTATCCTGAACACTATTAGTCTTTACTCAGTCCCCAACACAAGGTTGCTTGGAGTGTGCCTGGCCAGATAGCTTGAACGCACATCCAATTACTCTGAAGTAAATTAAATATTTGGCTTTGTCTAATCATTTGAACAGCAAATGCCAACACTTCATCTGAATAAGAAGAGAAGGAAATGGTGAGTGGCAGGATGGGTGGCTGGATGAGGGGTATAAGGGGCTGAAAAATGCTAAGCCCTCCAGGAGAAGGAAGACATCTGCCAGCGAGAACCAAAGCAACAAGCAAGGCAGCCCTCGTTAGTTGCTTGCAGATTTGTATAAGAAATGTAAGACACCTGCAAAGAAAAAACAAGGACAAGAGAACACACAATGTAATCCCAGCCCTCGTTAGTTGCTTGCAGATTTGTACAAGAAATGTAAGACGCAAAGAAAAACCAAGGACAAGAGAACACACAATGTAATCTGCTGTTGGGGCAGAATGCTCTCTACCTGGAATCTGTTGGTTCCACATAATTCTTACCTCTGTAGTGAAACAGTTACAGTTTTAACTGGCAAAGCCACATCCTGTAGGTGTGAGCTTCTTCGTAGGTTAACAACAATACTTCAACAGTAGGTTGACTAAACATCTTCACTGCCCTTTGTCTTGTTATCTTGGCTTGAACCTTCACCATGGTTGTGGTGACAAATCTCATGTTTGTCTGTGATTTAGGCTGGCTTTGGAGAGTGGCCAAGTACTTGCACTGCCCATCCCAGAATATATTAGTTTTCACAGAAAAGTGGAAGTTTCTGGGATACTAGGGGATGGGGCAGGAATGAAGATTGGCAATGTTTTTTTTAAGAAGCACCAACAGCCCTTGAGGTAGTGGTGGGGCATTAAATAGCACCACCAAGAGGTGGTTGCATTTGGGGCAGCCCAGTTTCCCTGAGCTAGGAAGTCTTCCTGAAAGACTACCTACTCACTGGAGACTTCTTAAGGTCAGGTGGCTCTTTGGAAGTATTGTATAGATTTTTCTGAGTGACTGTTCACAATAGCTGCAGCTTTATTTGGCGTGTTTATGTTGATGGAGATGTTTGATAGGTGCTCAACATTCCATGCTTTCTTTAGATCAGGTACTGCCTCCTGAAATATCGGTGTCAATGGTATTCTTGTTGTCTCAGGCCCAACTTCTTTCTTCTTGTACATTTTAATAAGAGCCTGAGAGTTCAAGGTTACTTGCAAAGAGGATGCATTGGCCCTATTGGAGTGCTGTGAATGTCCTTGCTTGTCATGCCACTGCGGTTGTTCTGCTCATTGTCAGAAATACAGTCTTGCTCTTCTTGTTTCCTCTATTACTGTAGGTGGGGATTCATTTCGTATCTGTCTCTCTGGGACGAGAGCTAATGGTAGTGACAATTCTGGCATGATTTTACTGGAGCAAAAGTCTCTTTAGTGAGACATCAGCAGCCTCCTCTCTGACTCTTTGTATAGGTAAACTATTGGCTTTGAAATGAACAATCTGATTACTCTGAGAACATTTTGAGATGATTTGTTTTTCCCTCAACAGACTAGTGTTCTATACAAGAAAAGAAAATAAGAATAAAATATAGCTGACATCTGTTGTAGAAAACCAACCAAGTTGTATTTTTCTGTGTTGCATCACCAAAGAGGATAGTAGGTGGCAAACAAAATGCTTTGAAGAGATTATCATTGCATTAGAGAGCTAGTATGATGTATTATCAGGGCATCAGACTAGGGCTCAGGAAATGTCGGTTCAAATCCCCATTCAGCCATAGAATTTCACGGGGGCTTGACACTGATAAAACCGCTCCTCAAATGTCACACATATCTTGGAAACACTAGTAGGGCTACCATAAATCAGAATTGACTTGATAACACCTAATCCAGAATCATAACATTGTTTAGCATAGCAATGGTAGAGGAGAGAGAGCACACAACAGGCAATAAAAGTACGTCGATATGGGGGTGTGAGAACTTAATCCGTATTGGAAGGTGGTTCTCAAGTCAAATCTGCATTTCCCATAGGAATGCTCAAATCTAAGTACTTAAGTCAATATTTTCCTATGAGAGCGGTTCTTAAGTCAAAATGTTCTTAACTTGAGCCGTTCTGAAGTCAAGACCCCACTGTATGTCAATACGGGGGTAAGGGGGCATTTTCAAGGAAGTGGCTGTCTTAGTCTGTTGCAGCAAAGGCAACCAAAGCCTCCTGCCACCGTTAAGCTGCAACTTGAGAAGGGGGCTGCAGCTTGCAAAACCTTGTGACAAATACACTTGTAGGTCTTAAAGGTGGCGCAGGGCTCTCTGTTGTTTTGAAACAAGCCAAGAGTAAAAAAAATCACAAATCTCAATAGTTTATTTCTAGTTCTTTATTTGGTTTTGTTCCCGTCTAGTTGTTCCTTTTATGATTTTCTTGTTCTTTTACGATTTAAGCACAATAAAAATGAATTCAGAAACAGGAGATATTTCAGTGAAATTGTCATGGGAGGTTCAGCGTGCTTTGTGCTTACCCTACTTACGCGCTGGTTACGCGGTGCGTGCGCCTGTCTTTCACTATACCATTATCTCTGTGGCAGCTGGAGGGCTGGAGCTTTCCACACTTCCCCCAGAATATGTGTCATACTGCACATATTGTTCCCGTGGGGCTTTTTCGGATCAGGAAGTGGGGGCAGCCAAGAAGTGTCAGGGTACTAGAGAAAGGTACAATAGAAAGACACGCCAAATGCAGCAATGTTATAGTTTCAATAATAAAGCTCAATAATATTGCCCTGGCAATAAGGCAGATGAATAGAAATCTCTTTCACTGGGTAAGTAAGCTTTTGGAAATTCAAAAGACAAATTATGACACACAGCACTTTCTTCCTGGAACTGGAAACTACAGTGCCCTCCCTCATAGCTTCTGTGAGGCTCACAAGGAAGGCAGGAAGAGTGTAAAACACCTGGTAGCAGAGACAAAATGAATCTATAATATTCCCCCATACATTTTTAGAAGATCTTTTTCTGAGAAGTACCCTTAGATTTTTATTGTATTTACTCCTCTAGAAACAGAATGCCAGTTTGCGGAATTATTTCCAACATGGTCAGGCTGTTTGAGGGGTGTCTGACTCCACCTTAACCAACTCATGCCCTAAAAAATATCCTTGGTAGAGGATACTGTGGAGGAAGGAAAATTGTGACTAATTGCCGCCACTACTTCTGCGCCACATGCAGCAGAAGAAGCAAAAACCCTTGAAGGAAAAAGAAGAATTGTTGGCTGCCACTGCTACTAATGGTGAGGATTGCCTCTGAGAAATGGAAAATCATTCTTTCTCTGGTGCATTCAATTCGTGTCAAAATCATGGGAAAGTATTCTGGCTGGGGGAGTTAGAGTGTTCGAATCAGAAAAAGGGAGTTACATTTCCAAGTTTTAATCTAATTTAGCTTCCCATTGCTGAGAACGTCCAATTAGATGTAATACTAGCATCTGACTACTATATGTATTGCTTCTGTTTTGAACCTCAAAAATTCCGTCTAGCTACCACTGTGTTTCACAGATCACCATGACGTCCAAATTTTACGCCTTTGCTTGCTTGTTCCTTCTTCTTCTTGTTGTTGTTGTTGTTGTTTTGTTTGTTTGTTTTTTCTTTATTAGTTCAGCTCCATGACTAAAAATCTAAACCAAACCAGGCCTAATTTACCAGTGCTTGTAACTAGGGAGTGGAGAACAAGGTGGAGCAGGCACGTAATTATCCTGATGCATATACATTAACTGTGCTCACAGCTTGAACATTCTGAATCATTTCAAATGACTTCCCCCTTACTCCGGAGGGAGAAATAATACAATATAATAAGCCAAAGCTAAATTCACCTTTTATCTGTAGGGTGCTTTACAAGATTTCTTTAATGTGGTACACCGCTGGGTGACTAGAACAGCAGTCCTAACATGCAATCTTTTCAAAAATATAAAGGAAAGACAAGCAGGACCCAAGTTCCAAATGTACTCTGCATTGAAATAATAGGGTGGTGAGTTTTTTTGTTTGGTTGGGGGGGGGTGTTGTGACCAAATAACGAGCCATTTTGTATGCTTGAAGTTTCCCAAAGGGCAAGCCTGCTGAGCAACATTGCAAGGCAGCTTGGTCAAGGTTTGCCGCGCGATAGGTGACCACGTGAGTCAAGGCCGTGGGAGGCAGCCAAAGTGCAGGGCTTATTGTCCTCCGCCTCCAGAAAAACTGGGTTCATTCACTCACCACCCTGGAGCTAGACAAATATAATCCCATTATTATGCGCATAGTGAAAAAGCTGAAAAGAGTAAAGAACAGCCCTTCCAATAAAAAAGCATTAAAGGCTGAAACATAGTGGCATTTTGATATAACCGAAAAGCACTTTGCCATTGGAAGGCCTATAATTGCTACATTTTATGGTTTGGGATATTTAAAAAAAAAACATTTAAAGTCACTCCTCCACCACAAGAGTATAACTTTAAGGTTGTTTTTTTAATGCACTATAAGAACATGTTTCATGTGCGAATTCACTCTGTACCTTTGAAGATACATGCTCTCAGCAGGGCACACAACACTTCAGGGGAAGTGCAGAGAAAAGAGTTAAAATACTGTTTCATGAACATAATGAGCTCTCAGTCAAAGCCATTCTGATATCAAG